GAAACTCCCAACCCTGCCAATCTGAACAAAAGGGTCATAAAAGGGTATGATCAAATGGTAATAGAGTATTGCTCATGAAGTAATAGGCTGAGAACCCCAGCCTGTCACTATTTTTCTTGATCTCTCTGTGTGGCATTCCTTCCTCGAAAGGAATAGGACAGGACACCTCAGGAGTGAGGTTTTATGACCTACTATCAGACGAGGTGGGTCAGAGAATTTCTTTAGGGGCAGCTCCTACACAGAAAGGCAAGGGACAGTTCCAGTAATATTTCTAGGTTTTATGGCTTGCTCTAGGGCAGAGAGATCCTAGTTTCTATGATCTGCCTTGTGGGATCCTGGTTTCCATGACTTGCTACAGGGGAGAAAGAAGGGTGGGAAACAGGAGGGTAGGAGAAGGCCAGAGAGAACAGGCTTCTGAGGCCCTTAGTTCAGAGTACTTAACATGCAAAGTGCCATAATTTTTGAGTACTGTTTTCTGAACCCTGATGTACCCAAAGACACATGTCCACCTTGACTTCCATCACTGTGCCCCTAACTACCAATTCACTGTCCTAGGGGGCAGGTGCAGATGGACATAGATCTCCAGAGTGTGGACATCAATCAGTGTGCAAGCGGCCCAGGCTGGTATTCTAACACACACCTGTGTGATCTCAACAGCACCCAGGTAGGGAAGAGGTGGATGAGGGGGGCCTCCCTTCCCATTTCCCATCACTGCCACCACCCAGTTCCCAGGAGCAATGCCAAAGCTGCCCCAACATCTCAGGAATTCAAGGGAGTCCTTAGGGATGCTGAGACCCCTAAAGGGAAGAGGGCAACAAAGGAGCATAGTACTTAAAGGACTCAACAACTAACATTGCTTTTCTAGCTCTGTGTCTCCATTCATTGCTCCCAGCAGGGGTCCCCTCCTGCCAGCAGGCAGCCTGGCTCCTTGCCTGTTCTCTCCCCACTCAGTCCAGAGCAGGATTTGGGGAGCTGTTTGGCCAGGCGTGCCAGCTCAGGCTCCTCCATTTCATATCTCCTGTACTGTGATTATTTCAGACTTGGCATGGGAAGAGTGAAGGGGTGGTTAATATCTAAGCTGGGCTGTGTGTGTATGCATGTGTATTATACATACATGGAGTGGGGAAGTGTGAAAATCCCCTTCAGACAGATTATCAGAGCTCAGGTTCCTACATGTCTGGACATGTGCCTTCTCTCTACCCATTGACAGAAACAGGAAATGATGGGATGTTGAAAACCTGAGGGATGTAGGGGAACAACCCAGTGGGAGGGAGATCATTGTCCACGGAGACAATGAGAGTTCAGAGTTCATAGCACTGGAGAAATGGAAGGCATGTGAGTACACTGTAGCACCTGTACTGAAGTTTGCAAGAATTAGTGTCCCATGGTCTAGTGCAGGTAGGGGTAGAAAGGTGTGATCCCTTTCCTCACCCATCATAAGGGTCACAGTACTCCAGTTAACAACAGAAAAGCATA